GGGAAATCCGTTCAATCAGTGCTCTTCCTGACCGAGTTTCGCTATCCGAACTTGAACCCGAATTCCCGAATCGTTAAATCAGAAATACTCCATCTGAGCTCATTCAGACGAGCAAACTATTTCTTTGGATTCCGCCTCCTGAAGCACGGGTCGGTTGTTTGGCTTTGGGAGGGGGCCTACCACCTAACGCTTGATTCTCAGAACTGGCCCGGTGGCAAAGCATGATTCTCGCTCTCCGCGCTGGGCGGAAGCCGGCATATTCCAAGCGTCGTCAAATGCCGAAAACTGCAGTTTTTCGGGTCGCAAAGGGGGATCCCCTTCCCAATAGCGATTTCGTGCTTGGCTCCGGCTCGAAGCTGTGTCTCAGAATACTGGCGGTTATGTGGGATGGTAAGGATGTTCCAGTGGGGTAGAACAATCCCCCAATACCTATCATGGACGTGCTTCTCATTTCCTCGAAGTCATCGCTGTCAGAATTTGAGAGCGGCCAAAGTTGTTTTAGTTTGCTCACCCATGGCTTCGCTCGCTCAGATTGGGATCCTCTGGGGCGTCCCGAATTTTCCTGAAAATACATGCTACAAGCCCGTGTTCTCGGAGAAATCTCCTGTTTGACCGTCTGCGAATTGAAGAACGAGAGCCTCACGCCTGGAAGATCCCCCCTGGGTTCGCTATTTCGCGACCCAGAGACGCATGATGCATGATACAATTCGTTCATCTTCGATGGTGCTTTCCTGCTTCATCCGCGCAATGGGACCGGAATGGCTACTCCCGATTTGATCCGATGGGGCGAAGCCCGCTTCATCCTCGACTCAAAACCGATCGAGAACAGAGATCCCTGCTCACATTCGCGATGTCGTCGCTAGATTGGGTCTCGCCTCACGACCTTTTTCCTTGATTTACACCAATAATTAGCTCACATGTCCTCTGTCAGATAAGTTCTGGACAACTTTATTTCATCTTTCTTCCACCTGCGACCAAGGGCTTCAGCGGCCAACCCATTCCGCATCGAAAATATCGCTTGCATGTTGAGGTCTGACTCCACGACTCTGACATATCTCGGCGCAGTGAAGTGGCGCTCGAAGCGAACTTCGGCTCGGCCGCATCCTTGGAAGCGATACTTAGCGGCCATGATAAGGTCATTCCGGACAGGAGTGTTCCTCGGTGCAGTGGTGGAGCTCGGAGGCGACCGTACCTTTCCTCGAG